CCCCAAAACCCCAAAACCCCAAAACCCCACTTCTACTTCAACTTATTGAAATACTATTTTAAATAATAAGAATTTTGAATAAATGCGAACTCTCCCTAAAAGACATAGTGTCACTCCGAAGAGGACTTTATTTAATATCCCAAAGCCTTCACCTGGTTCGACTAATGGAAAACCTGGAAACTCTTCGGAGAACTCCATTGAGGAGATGACTGGGTTTTCTATGACTGGTAAGAGTAGATTTCAAGGCCCAAAAAGTGAAAAGAGAAAATCTCTCAAGTTAGGCATTAGTGATGGTAGGAAATCTATCATACCGAAAAGAAATTATATGTCACTGCAGTCTGAAGAGCTAGAAGACAGAGATATTGTGGGGACGAGGAAATCTCTTGCTCTCAGCTTACAGAGCAATGTCATTAACGTTGGGATCGTAATATTAATAATAACTTATGGGTTATTTACTTTTATTATCACTGCTGTGGACAGAAATACAGGGAAAAATCACATTATGGTCGTATATCACTCTATTGAATCCATTTTTATCCTTGCTTTTGTTATTGAAATTTTAGTGTATAAGTATGCCTTCCGAGAGCTTTATTTTTAATAACAATTATAACCGGATAAACCTTGTATTGACTGGGTTCATTATTGTATTTTGGGTTTTAGATATGTTCATCGACTCTTATACAGTAAGCATTCTTCTTAGAACGAGAGGATGCATGAGGTTGGTACACGTCCCAATTATTCTTGAAAATATTAGGTCCCATTGGAGACTTAAAAGAGGATTAAATATGATGGACTCGGATCTCTTAGACTCAGATAAGCCTAACTCAGAGAAAATTATCGAACTTTTGCTTCAGATTGGAGAAGCAATGGAAGATCCTAAATTTTATAACGATATCCATTATTGAATAAAACATATTGCCAGTGGAACTTTGTACGAGGTCGGAGAAAAAGATACCCAAACTCAAGAAGTCAAGTCATTGAGAAGGAGAAGAGGAGCTATATTACAGATGGAAGAGCAAGCATGGATAAAATCCTGTACAAATATGGTCAAGCTTAAAAGAGACTCGAGAGACCCTGGAACTATTGTAATTACAACAGGAGGGAACCTCAAAAGTTTGGAATCTTTACTTGACTTGAATTTTTCATACAGTAAACTAATGGAAGATTTGGATACGTTAGAATTCGATATTTTTGACCTGAGGGAAAAGTCTCACGATAGAGAACTCACTACAATTACTTCAGTGCTGTTTCATAAGCATTCTCTTTATTCGCACTATCACATAAATTTGGAAAAGTTCTTAATCTGCATGGATAAAATTACTTCTGGGTATAATAAAAGCGTGAAATATCATAACTCAACGCATGCAGCAGATGTATGACAGACTCTTTATTCTTTCATAATTAACGGAGATTGGATCTCTAAAGCAGATTTTGGAAATATTGATATCTCATCGATGATTCTAGGAACTGCTGTGCATGATTATGAGCATCCTGGGTACAACAACATATACTTGATAAACACCTCAGATAATCTGGCTGTAAGATACAACGATATATCCGTGCTGGAGAATCATCACATTGCTTCATCTCTGGCTTTGATGAAACTAGAGAAATATAATTTTCTTGATAAAGTAAACCCAGATGATAAAGAGGGGATCCGCAAGAGAATGATCCATATTGTATTGGCCACTGATATGAGTAAACATTTTGCAGATATCGGAACTTTGAAGTCTAAGATTTCTTCGAATACACTTGATCCAGCAGAGAAGGATAAGCTGCTATGAATGGGAATTGGATGCCATCTTGCAGATATTAGTAATCCAAGCAAACCTTGGAACCTTACACTCAAATGGACTGAACTCCTCTTTGAAGAGTTCTTCAAGCAAGGAGATAAGGAAAGAGATATGGGATTGAAGGTTAGCGACCTGATGGATAGGACATGAGTTAATATTGCCAAAGCTCAGCTTGGATTTATAGACGTAATTGTCAAACCCGCTTTTGAGACGTTCTCAGGATTCTTAAAATGAGTCAATAAAAATATTAAAAATATAAAGAAAAATAGAGAGAATTGGGATTCAAGAGTTAAAGAATATCATCAAAGGATGATATCTGAAGCAGATAAGATTAAAAGTCCTATCCGTGTAATTGAAGAGGAAAAATCAGAGAATGAGGAAGATAGTCAATCAAATAAGCTATCTGATCTTGATTCCTCTAACCCACCTTCAAGCTTCTCTTCCTCAAATGGAGATGCTGTTGTTGAAGAGTTTGGCAACAGCTCTTTTCCAAAACCAAAGAACTCCCTTAATAAGATGCAGTCAAACATCGAAGATAAAACTTGAGAACTGTTTGATCTATAATTCTTTAATCCCCTTCTCTTAAATTTCAATATTCTAATTCCCTTATGGGGTTTTGGGGTTTTGGGGTTTTGGGGTTTTGGGGTTTTGGGGTTTTGGGG